AGGAAAAATACCGTACCCTGATTCCTTCATATCAATATCACCGATGACAACATTAGTGGACTTGCCGCTCTTCTCATGTTCGCGCTCCTTAAAGTGGTTAGGACACTTCGGAGCCCAGTGATTAGGATCACCGCAGACATGGCAAAGTCCCTTCCTCTTCTTATGAGAATTCTTCTTGAAGTTGGTAGAATGTGATGGCTTGTTCTTTGTATCAAACTTGCCTTTGCCCTGAGTTTTGTTCTTATTGTTTTTGAACTTGTTGGGCTGGGAGTTCTTCTTCTGTACCATGTGGGCACTAGAACCTCCCTCAGCAACTCGAGCACGTGTGTCCTTTGCTCTCGCCTTCTCTTCAACATCAAGAGTACCAATGAGATCCGCAACGGAAAACTCCTGTCTCTTGTGTTTCAGGAAAGTAGCAAAATTGTTCCACGAAGGTGGAAGCTTGGCAATGATGCCTCCGGCAACAAATTTGTCTGGCAACACACACTTGAAGTACTCAAGTTCTTTTGCGAGCGACTGTATCTCATGAGCCTGCTGTACAACAGGGCGCTCATCAGTCACCTTGTAGTCATAGAATTGCTCCATGACGTACAACTCGCTGCCGGCGTTCGAGGCACCAAACTTAGCCTGAGCGCAGCCCACATGTCCTTGTCGTTGTCAAACGACATATACGAATCCACAATGGAGTCATCAAGAACACTCAGAAGAGCGCCTTTAAAGAGGGTATCGATCTTCTCGAAAGCTTCCAGCTGTGCTGGATTAAGATCGCCCTCAGGCTTGCCCTTGGTGGCGTCATAGCAGCCCATGGTCTGAAACCAGTAGACTGCTCTCGTGCGCCACCTCTTATATTGCGCCCCCTTAAAGGCAGGCGGCTTCGGATGCGCAGCAAAACCACTCGGAGTAAATTGCCTATAATCAGGTTTTTGGATTGTTTGAAATATGAGCAAGTTATTACGAGATTTAATCCGAATAATTAGAAGATAAATCATGACTACAGTAGCAGAGATTAAACTAATCATGCGAACTAGCATAGCAGATGAACAGATCACATCTAGGGCACATACTAGAAACATGAATTCTACCACGATCTCGAACAGGAAGGATAGAATCACATACGGTGCAGCGGGAGCAGCACCGCCGGCGTTGATGTTGTCGCCCATGTCGTCGAGGATGAGGTTGCCGAGGTCGGGGAAGAAGTCGTCGTTCACGAAGTCGTCGCTGTCAGCAGTCGCGCGAGTGCGCTCTCCAAAAATCTGATCGCCCCTCCCGTACAGGATCACGAGAGGCGGGGTTTCGGAGGCCTGCTGTCCCTTCTCCCGGTTCACGCTGAAAGGAGGGATGGAGAAGACTTTCTTGGCGGCGCAATGATCTGGAACGGTGGTGAGAAACCATATGAAGCGGCGACGACTAGGGTAGACGTCTGCCTGACTATATAGTGCGGGCCGGGTAGGTCGTGGGAGTAAACCCCATGTCCGAGTCGTCACGATCCAAAAGAATCGGAAACGGTTTAGTAATTAACGCGTTCGTTAATTATTAATTAATAACTCATTAATTTTCCCCGAGCAGCAAAAATATAGACAACGTGCATAGCTCTGTCCTCGGTTCAATCCCGCAACCCGCGGCGCGGCGAGCGAGGAGGAGGAGCGCGTGTGTAGATCTCCTCTTCTCATGCTCATACAAATGGTAGAAGAGCTCATCTTATAAAGAGATGCAACTCTCTCTCAACTTCCAAGGTGGGACTAAACTTTAGCCTCACTCACTCCACTCACATGTGTGCATAAATGAGCCAAGAGAATTTCAGAATTTTAGTTGGGCTTTGGGCCAAAGGCCTACTAGCAAAATTCCAACACCGTGCACTATGTGATGCTCTATCGTGTACTCCTATGTAAAGGCTTGGTACATTCCTGACGACTCTCATTTCTACTTGAGAACGTCACATCAGGAGAAGCTCGTATATGGGAGATGCACTCATTTCTAGCTAAGACAAGTCACTTCCGTCTTGATGGATGAGATTAGGGGAAGAGTGATGTATGTCAGGAGGATACACTCTCTAAGATATATAGTCTGAAACCTATTTTTTGGGGTGGGTGCGAGATGATTCGAACCTATGAACTTTTTACAATGTTTATTTCATTATGGCCGTATGCATCATTATGATGCAAAGGCCGGGGAGTTTCTTTTTAAAAAAATGTTTATTTCATATCTCGGTTGTACACGCGTACTACATATATTGTCCTCATATCCACTGCATGTGCAACATTTAAGGCTCTAAAGCCAGCATGCTATATGTCTAGCTCCGGCAAGCATGTGCAAAATCACCTCCCATATATCCCTACATCCACACTACTTTTCTAAAGGTTTCTATATATACACACAGAGAATCAATGAATCATGATGCAAGCTAGCCATGAATTTACTTCATCGCGGCTGCCCCCCTGATGGCCGGTCACATTTGAACTTCGAAGTGCTATATGCCATCAAGAATTAGTTTCACTGCCTTCTTATTTTTGCAGCGAGAAGTCCCCCTACTTCCATAAGATAAAATCGAGGGATCTTCATGAGATTAATCAGTGCAAAAATTATATTTAACAATTAATTCCACTATGTCAGGAGACCATTCCCAGTAGCAACGCACACATGCATAACTTCTCTTGATCAATCCATGTTCACATTACACACAAGAATACCGTACAATCTAGAGCTGACAACTATCAAACTAAATGCATGCATGGTGAACACTTGAGGTGTCGCTGCTCAGATGTTGGTTGTGATTGACCATCGTGACATACTGTTGTTGTGAAGCGTAGATCAGAAGTATCCAACTAGTAGATAGGGACAACAATGAGGCCCTAGACCCACCAAACTAACAAGGATTTCATCCTTTAGAGGTGGGTGAGAGAGAACCTTCCCCATGGGGATATTTACTGAAGTAGTTTCCCCATAGGGTAACGGGATGGAGAAGGTATCCTATTCCCCACACCCATTCATCCCTGATCATGCAAACATGGATGGAGATGGGATAATGGGGAATATATGGGGACATGGATATTCTAGGGAGGGCATCGATTGTCCCCATTTCCATTTATATTTGTATACACATGAACAAAGGTTGAATCCACGGAGATCCAACAGACCTGAATCCCGTGAGATCCGTTGGAGACATACCTTAACGTACCCTCTGGCAAAGCTAGATGCCCCGCCGGGACGGAGTTGAGCGTGGAGGACGCTATTACATCTTCATGGAGTTGCGACCACTTCATCCTGAGTAGGACACAAACCCTAATAAAAAAACACCTAAAACGGAGTAGAAAACCCTTCTGCCAGTAAGGGCGACCGAACGGTTTCCAAAAGAGCAACTGACACGTAGAGTGGATATTTCCGAGAGGCCAGAAGCAACATTGTTGTTAGCAGAGCTAAGAAAACTAGCATCCACTTGTGAGAATATTATGGTTGGATTGAAAACTTTTAAACAGTCAGCTATCTGGCACCCGAGCGATGGCGCTAGAATTGATATATGGAAGGTCACTCGATCGGAGGGAGACACCTAGAGGACATTGTTTACTACAAACGGGTCAAGACTTAATTGATCCAAATTCTAGGAACTGGGATGACCAGCTGATCAAGGATAACTTGTAGCTCATAAATGCATGGTTAGGCGAATTTAATTGCATCGCAATATACAAAGTCGGTTTGCTTCACGATGAGCTCGGTGTATCTGGAGGCATGGAGATCTAAGTACATGACCGGGGCCCGTCTTAATGAGGGAGTTGGAGGGATGGAGCCACATCTGTTTTGGAAGTTATTGTGGGGAGATTGGTACCCACTAAAGTTCATATTTTCAATTGGAGGGTGTTGCATGGCCTAGTTCCTTGTTATTGTTCTTTGGCTGATCGTCATATGCAAACCCCCGTTCTATGCCATGTTTGTCATGTGGATCCCCAAGATCTCAGTCATATGTTGTTCCTATGCGATAGAGCTATGGACGTTTGGAAGGAAGTTGCACTGCGAGAATTCATATAACCTTTAGCGGCTCGGGAGCGATCGGGAGTTGTAACTCCGGAGCAACTTCTTTGTGGTGAGCTTCCTGGAGGGATGGCTCTTCCCATTGCGAATGGAATTGAGACTATTATGGTTGCATGATGGTATCTCTGGTGGGATCACCGAAAAATTTCACATGGTAAGACGTGGTATCCCCTACTAGGTCGGCCATAAGTATAAAAAGGGTTGTGTTGAATGCTTTGGCTGTTAAGATAAAAGCTCCGTTTGGAATGTCAAACGGAGCAGGACAACGGTGAGGACTATGAAACATAACATTGATGCGAGTTTTTACCCGGACGTGGGGGTTGGAGCGACGGGAGCTTTACTCCGAGACTCCAATGGGGCGTTGATAGTTGCATCATGTTCTTTTGAAGACGTTGCCATAGACGTTGCATCAATAGAAGCAGTCACACTATTGGAAGGGTCATGACTTGCAGACTTGTTGGGGATCTTAGCAGTGGCGGTGGAGAGTAATTCAATGGAGATAGTTCAAGTCATTCTTGATCCAGCCGAGTATCGAGCATAAGGAGAAGTGGTGACTAATGACTGCCGGGAGGTTTCGAATTCCTTCGGCATGGCGACTATAGCATACATGTGCCCGTGAAAGCAATGTTGTTGTGCGTTCGCTTGCTCGAGCAAGTTAACAAGAAAACTATCTGAGGAGTGGCGTGATTATCCTCCGTACTCCCGTATTCGTTATCGTGTACTCCCCCCATCCCAGAACGCTCTTATATTACGGGACGGGGGGAGTAACGGGCAAGATCATTGTTCAATAAAGATAGCTGAATTTCAAGAAAGGAAGAAAAAGAAACAGCGTACACGGTGTAGTGGGCTGGCCGCTCGCGAAATTTAGTTGCTCCAGCTTGGACCATGGTTGGGCAGGCGTCCAATATCTTGGCCACTTTGGGCCCATCTTGTGACACGAGAAAGGACCAAACGCGCCGGCGGTGAGAGAGGAGAGGATGGAGCGGCGGCGCAAGCCTCTTCCGCGCCGGCCGCCGTACTGCGCTCCTTTTACGTCAGGTCGTCCACCAGCCAAGAAGAGGAAGAGATTGGGCTCCGAGGGAGAGATTGAACCTTCGGCCGGGGCGGCAGGAGTCGACCGGATCAGCGCCCTCCCCGACGAACTCCTCGGCGAGATCATCTCCCTCCTCCCCACCAAGGACGGCGCCCGCACCCAGATCCTCGCGTCCCGGTGGCGCCACCTCTGGCTCTCCGCCCCTCTCAACCTCGACTGCCGTGGCTTTGCCACCGCCGCCGATCTCGCGGTCGTCAGATACCGCAGGGTCTACAACAACGTCCCCTCTGCTGTAGCGCACATTCTTGACCGCCACCAAGGCCCCGGCCGCCGCCTCCGTGTCAAGGGGTACCGTCTCCCCGTCGCCGCCGCCGCCGCCACCGCCGCCACCGCCCTGAATTGGTGGATCGTGGCCCCCGCCCTCGCCGCCGCCGCCTCCGCCGCCCTGGATTGCTGGCTCGTGGCCCCCGCCCTCGACGGCCTCCAGGTGCTCGAGTGCTGGGTTTCTTCCAAGCGTTCTAAACCGCTTGGGCCGCTGCCGGCGTCCGCCTACCGCTTCTCGCCCACCCTCCGCGTCGCCACCTTCGGTGGCTGCCGCCTCCCCGACGACGACATCGCCCAAGGGCTTCACTTCCCCAACCTCAAGCACTTGTCACTTGAATCCGTCTCCACCTCGGAGCATTCTCTGCACAGCCTCATCGCCCGTTGCCCCGCTCTGGAATGCTTGATGATTCACACAATCTTCGGCTTCCGTCGCCTTCGGATCAATTCCCTCACTCTTACGTTCATATGTGTGCAAGATCAACTTCAGAACTGCAAGGCATTCAGTCAGCTCCAGTTTGAGGAACTCGTCATCCAGAATGCGCCTTGTCTTGAAAAGTTGATCCCTCTCTACTTTGAGTGTGGTCTGCAGGTGTCGGTAATCTCCGCGCCTAGACTTCACACCTTGGGCTTCCTTACTGATTGGGGCGATCATTCTACCAAACTAGTGTTTGGCTCCACAGTTATTCAGGTGATTAACCTTCCAACTGCTCTATATACTTCTTGCCTTATATATGGGATGTCTAACTAGTTAACCCGTGTTTGTCATCTGCACTTTTATATAGCCTGATTTTGTCTCCCATGCTCCATTTAGGGATTGCGCGCCAATAGCCTGACAACGGCGGTGCACACTGTCAAGATTTTAGCTGTCAATGTCAATATTCTTAGTTTGGATAATCTTCTTGACATGATGAGATTCTTTCCATGCTTGGAGAAGCTGCACGTGAAGGTGGCTGTTTCTTCCTTGATAATTCCTAGCATCGTTTAGCTTAGCTTTTGATATACTCACTGTTCTAAAGCGGTGAAAGATTTTATGTCTTTCTTTGCAGTCATGGAGTTCGGGTGAGAAAAATTTGTGGCATCATAAACACCGGGATCTTCTCAGATGTCTTGACATCCGTCTCAGGACAGTAGTGTTGGAAACGTATCTGGGCAGCTGGTCACAGGTTAACTTTGCCAAATTCTTTGTGCTGAACGCCAGAGTGCTGGAGTCAATGACGTTTCATGTTGAGGCCAGCTTGTACGATGAGGAGTTCTTGGCAGAACAGCGTGGGAAGCTTCAGCTAGGGAACAAGGCTTCAAGAGATGCTCAGTTTCATTTTACAACTGGTACTTCTCTCGAAGCTGTTTGGGAGACCAAGCATCTCAGTGATCTTAACTTGAATGACCCCTTCCTGTGTAGATGTTGAAATGGGTTTGGTGAGTCAGGAATTATCTTTGCTTATCTCATTTGTGTTCTGTGAAGACTTTCTTAGTACCCTTGTCTGTAGTATGTGTATATGTACAATCTTGTGTCATTTCTTTTGTCCTACACTTGCTGGTATATGCACAATCTCACTGAAAAGTTTTGGATTCGTCAACAATGTTGCTACAGTATAAGACGGCGGCTTGTCGAGATCCATCTTTTAATCTTCCATTGGAACATCTGTTCAATGACTCTGCATGCAGTGTCATTCTTCAGTGTTAATTGAAGGGTGGGTATTTATTCTGGAATGTCTTATGAATACCATTGAAGTGAAGGAAAAGGAAACAACTTAACTCTTCTGATTTAAATGATTTTTTACTGTCTGGACCATACATCGCATCAGTGTATTGGTTACTTATATTTATCTAGCTTCTGGAGGATTTATGAGTTCACCCTACTTGTTATTGCTTGGCCTCGTACAATGGAAGTAAATGTGAATCGTTCTGTTTATCGATGCAACTGCATTTTGATTATTTATTAAACTACTACTGCATCTAAATTAACAAGTGCAATTGTATCGAGGTTTTGACAGGTGCAATTGTGTTGAAATTTCGAATTGGAATATATCAGATGGTTTTCGTGTCTGGGTGTTCTATGCACTGTCTTTTGCAGTTAGAGACATCACACACAAATAATCTTACTATTGTTTTGTGCTGTCCTATTATACTTTTTTTCCGAGAATGATTGTCTTTTGCTTTATGTCGCCTTTTTTTTGTCCTATTGTACTTGTGAGGAGAAATACTTTTTTTATTGTTTTGCTTTATGTCGCCTTTGATCTTATTCGAGTAATCCTCTGAATCTTTTATTTGCTGTTGCCACTCGATTCTTGTCTGTTTTTTTGCAAAACTGTTCTGTGAACAGTGACTCAGCAACGTAGAGTACCACATTAATTTGCAACGAGGTGAGTCACACATAGCTGTTACCATATAAATTATCGGTCCTATATTATTCATGCTCCTGGATTCAGTCATATATGTATTTTCTTGGCCTTGATGATTCAATAATTTCTATGATGCTTTGCTTCATGGCTGCCGCATTGCATCGCTGATTGCTAAGTTAGCTACCACACATTATATGATCTCAAGCATTTGTTCTCTGAGTCATTGTTTTGCACTTCTGCTACTGCCACCGAGTCCTCTGATTTAATGCTAATGCAGCTTCTCAGGTATCTGAGAACTGCCTGCTACATCTAAATAATATCCATACCTTGGTTGCTCTCTCTCAGAATTCGAAAAGTACCCAACTCTATACATTGACTGTTGTGAAGATCCTGAACACCATTATTTGCAAGCTACTTGATACAGGTTCGGTTCTTGATGAGATGGAACCTGAAACTGTATTTGTTGTAGTCTTGTAGATAAGGCTGACAGCAGCAAGACTTGTGTGATTGATGTGTGTGTTTGTGATGTGCGTCGGAACTTAGCTGAGAGTGTAGAGACGGTATCCACCAGCCGGAATAATCTAATAATGTCACTTGTGTACTCAATAGAAGTACTCAATAATGCGTATATATCGAGCATGCAATGCAGGAGTAATTTGATTCGAGTACTGATGTTTGTAGTATGCCTATATGCACATTCCCGTGTCATTTGTTTTGTCATACACTTTAGGGTATATGCACAATCTCGCTGAAAAGTTTAGATCCCATCTGGATTCTTCAACGATGCAGCTTTGGTCTTCCATTGTAACATGAATTAAATGATTTCGCCTGCAGTGTCATTCTTCAGTGGTAATTGAAGGGATCTTGTTTTCTCTGGAATGTCCATGAATACCACTGAAGAAAAGGGGGAGGAAACGACTTTACTCTGTAATAATCTGAAGTCAGTTTTGTATTGTCTGGTCCATACATCGTATCAGTGAATTGGTTACTAAATTATGTTTATCTAAATTCTGGATGATTTATGAGTACACCATTTCTTGCTGTTGCTTGGCCTCATACAATGGAAATAAATACGGACGGTTCTTTCTATCGTTGGAGCTACATTTTGATTATTTATTAAACTACTTGCATCTAAATTAACAACTGCAATTGTATTGAAGTCCTAAATTTGAGTGTCTGAGATGCTCTTTGTACCTGAGTGTTCCAGGCACTAGCTTGTGCAGTTAGAGACATCACACACAGCAAGTAGTCTTAGGTTGCTGTTTATTTTACTTGTGAGGAGAAAAGCTATTGTTTTATTGTAATGAAGTCCTAAATATGCTGCTGTTTGAATCTTTTCTTTGCTGTTGCCACTGGACTCTTGTCTGATACTACTTTCTGTGAGCAGTGACTCAGCACTGTACAGTACTACATTGTTTTGCAACAATGTGAGCCTCATAGAGACGTTACGGTTCATATTTTTGGCCCTTAGTATTATTCATGTTCTTGGCTTCAGTCATTTGTATTCTCGTGGCTTGATGATTCGTATTTGTCATTCCTATTCAGCGCTTACTGGCTGTAATAGTATGATGATGGTTTGCATCGCTGATTGGTAAGTCAGTTAGCACGCATTATTGTTAAACTCAATTATTTCTCTTATGCCGCCTCAAGTTTTCCACATTGTTTTCTGAGTCAATGTTTGCAGATCACAACTCTAAATGTTGACAGTTTCGAAGTTTTTTGAACACCAACATTTGTAGATCACCAACTACTCGGTACAGGTTCGTTTGTTGATGAAATGGAATCTGAAACTCGATCTATCCGTTGTACATATATAAGTTGCCAGCAGCAAGATTTGTGTGTGATTGACGTGTGTGTTTAACTGTTTATGATGGGAGAAGAGTTGAGCTGAAAGATGATGAGGCTAATGCAGAAACCATTTCAGCCTGTTCAATTCAGCCCTTTTTTTAGGTCTTTTCCATGCAATGAAAAGAAGGGTATTTGAAATTTTGAAGTGACACTAACATTTGTATTAGCTTAAAGAAGTACTACAACCTATTTGCCAAATTATAGTGCATAGAATTATTTTTTTCTATAGTCAAACTTTTGACCAAGTTTATGTATACAAAAACAATAATTTGCAATAGTAAATATCATGTAAAAATATATCTCATGATAACTCTAATGGTAGTATGAATGTTGATAATTTATCATAGTTTTAAATAGCCGGCTATAGCTCTGCTATAGCCCGCTATAGCCTTTTCAGTAGGTTCCCGCTAAATGGTCTCATGTACAAATAGCCCGCTATAGCTGATTTTAAGGTCCGCTGCTATTTGGCATAGCCCGCTATTTAAAACAGTGTAATTTATTACAAACTTAGTCAAAGTTTAAGGATGACCTTGAAAAGAACTTATATGCACTATAATCTGGACTTCTAGAAGGGGTAATTATGTTTTATTCAGCAGATTTCTCATCGGAGATGCCGTTAATTAATTATCGTTGGTTGGTGAGTGCTCGGCGTTGGAACCTAGCTACGGGTGTAAAGCCGGCATCTACCAGCCAGAATAATCACACAACGTCACATGTGCAGGCTACGCACCAGCCGGGCATGCAATGCGCGAGGTAATTTCCAGCCTCCAGCTAGCTAGCTTAGTTTGTTCCCGTCTGCCTCCACACAGTAACGGATCAGTTGCTCGGAATCCTCACTCGTTTTTACATATACTACCTCCGCTTCTCCAGGTATTAGCAGATCAATGGCGATAGCAGTGGGAGTAGGTGTGGGTGAGTGGGTATGGTGGCCGGGCCTCGCCCTCGGCGCCGTCCCGCTGCTCTGCCTCGCCGTCTGGCACTCCACCGACGCGTGGTACCGCGCCGCCTTCTTCCTCAGGCACGGCGGCCGGCGCCGCCTGCCGCCGGGCCACATGGGCCTGCCTTTCCTCGGTGAGACGCTCTCCTTCGTCTGGCACTTCAAGCTCGCGCGCCGCCCGGACGACTTCATCGCCGCCAAGAGGCGCGCGCACGGCTCCGGGGCCGGCATCTACCGGACGCACCTCTTCGGCTCCCCTGCCGTCATCGCGTGCTCTCCGGCGGCCAACAAGTTCGTGTTCCAGTCCGCCGATAACTTCGGCATACGGTGGCCGGTGCCGGAGCTCATCGGCCACAAGTCCATGGTCAACGTCGAGGGCGCCAGCCACGCCAGGCTTCGTGGGATCATCCTCACCGCCATCAACCGCCCCAGCTCGCTTCGGACCATCGCCGCCGTCTTGCAGCCGCGTGTTGTGGCGGCGCTGGCCGCGTGGGCAGACATGGGGACAATCGTTGCCTCCACCGAGATCAAGAAAGTAAGAGATCTATTCATCGGTGAGCATGCATGTGCTTTTCTTCTCTGTCAATAGTGAATAGTGATGCTCCTTAAATTGCACAGGTGACGTTCGCGAACATATTCAGAATGTTCATAAGCATGGAGCCGTCGCCATTGACAGAGCAGATAGACCAGTGGTTCGGCAGCCTGATGGCTGGCCTCAGGGCATTCCCCTTGGATTTTCCAGGGACAACATTTCACCGCGCTCGCAAGGTAATCTGTTTTTCTTTTCATACAATGCACTAAATGGATCGGGTATTCGGGTTACACTATCAAGAGAGAGTCAAGGTAATTTGTTTGCTCCTTGTTTTTACAGAAATCATTAAAATAACTGTAGAGAAATCTAACAACTTGTGCAGTGCCGTCAGAAGCTGAACGCGGTCTTCCGACATGAGCTGGAGGCAAGGAAGAAGGTGGACAAGAAGTGTGATGATCTCATGAGCGGGCTGATGTGCACCGAGGATGAGCAGGGGAAGAGGCTGAGTGATGAGGAGGTTGTGGACAACATGGTCAACCTCGTGGTCGCTGGCTATGAATCCACGGCCAGCGCCATCATGTGGGCTACCTACCACTTGGCCAAATCCCCTGCCGCCCTCGCCAAGCTCCGAGAGGAGAACATGGCAGTGAGCGAAAGCAAAGGTGGTTCATTGATGATCACCCATGATGACCTCCCAAGGATGAAGTACACGGCGAAGGTGGTGGAGGAGACGATCCGAATGGCCAACGTCGCCCCCATGGTGCACCGCGTGGCGAACCGGGACGTGGAGTATGGTGGGTACACGATCCCGGCGGGGTGGCCGGTGCTCGTGTGGGTGAGGTCGCTGCACACCGACCCAGTCTACTACCAGGACCCCCTCACCTTCAACCCCGACAGATGGGATGTATGTTGTTGTTTTTCTCTCATTGATCATGGATGCAACTTCATCATGTACGCACCAATTGTCAACGAAGAACTTGATGAATGCAGAAACCAGCGAAGCCAGGGACGTACCAGGCATTCGGTGGCGGATATAGGATTTGTGCCGGGAACATGCTCGCGAAGTTGCAGATCACCATCATGCTCCATCACCTCTCCACTGGTTATGAGTGAGTGATGATATATATTACTTCAAATCCTATGTAATCACTAACATGAGATCAGTAGAACTCATTTGCTTATTTTTATCTTGGCATTTGATTGATTTATTTCTTTATTGCATAAACTGGCATTTGATCCTAGTTTGCCATACGAATGATTGTTTCAGATGGGAGCTGTTGAATCCTGATGCGAAGATCAATTACCTTCCACACCCAAGGCCAATGGATGGCGCATCCATGACCTTCCGTAAGCTTAGAGCTTGATGGAGATGCATTCAATGATTTTTTCTAGCTATGTGCTAGTGCATCAATGTTAATTCTATTAGTATTGTATGATCATATCAGAACTATAGCTAGTCTATCTTTTTTCTGGAAATGACATTATCTTTGTAAGCAAACATGGGCAAAATGCTTTTAAATTTGTACTGCAAGGGACAAGACCATTATTTGAAAGCTACTAGTTTTTTTTTTTTCTGATGAGAAGGCCATTTATGAAGCTCGGCTTGATTACTTTTGGTTGAATGGGTGCGCAATAGATGAGCCTGAGGGGCGAAAGAGCCCGCCGTGACCGTCGAGTATGTGTGGTCACAAGTCAAAGATAGGCAAGCTCCCATGTGAAGTGCCTCTAAATGGGCCGGCTACAGATGTGTCCCATCAATACATTTAGAAAAATCAGAAAGTAGGATTCTTATTGAATAAACTTTATATTATATCTAGGAAAATTAGTTTCACAATTGGTAAAAAATATACTCCCTCTGATCCATATTAATTGTCGTGTACAAAGTTGTACTAAGTGTGCGACAGTTAATATTGATCGGATGGAGTGGGAAAAAATGTTCATGTACTGTGTAAATATTTATATGTTCAAATAAAGTAATCATACCATAGTAAAAAATGTTTTTAAGCACCGAAATAATATTCATGTACTTTAAAATATTCATACATTTCAAAAAAGAAATCATACAAAGTCGTGCATAAGTGGCTGAATATATGTTCATAGAGGTTTTAAAAAATGTTCTGTATTTTCCCAAAGAGGAAAGGGAAAATGGAATAAAAGGAAATTAAAGTAAGAACAAAAAGTAAAAGTAAAACTAAAATAAGAAAAGGTAAAGGGGAAATAAAAAAAGTAAACAAGAAACAACAATAGGAAGAAGGAAAAGAAGCAAAAAAAACAGCTATTGTGTTGCATGCATGTATTTTAATTTTGTCTGTACTGCATGCTCATATCATAACTGCCTCTAGTCTATCTTGTCATTAAAAGCTTGTTTAATTGCTATGCATTTCTTTGTAATCAAACAGAAGCATGATGCTTTACAATTTTTAAGACCTGAAACCAGGTGAACTGGTTTGACATTTTTTTCCTCAAGTTAGGGAGCCCCTATTTGCCGCTTTATAGCATGCAATAAGCAAGCTCCAACCACAAGCTACTTTCCATGGACAGACTACTACTACGGCCCATCAATAATTATTATTTTATTAATTAATTGTGTTTTATTTAGTAAATTATAAAATATTTTGTACAAATAGTTATAATAATTGGGGAAATATGACATAGAGTAACTAAAAAAATTGATGTACTTCAATGCAAATAATAAAGAAATATATATTAAAAAATTCATCTCATAGTAGAAAACATGTTATTATGCACAAGAAAATATATTAATTTATTTCAAAAGAGCCCATGTATTTGAAAAAAAGATACGTATGCACCAGATTTTATGTCTATAAAAATTTATATGTTCTGTGTTTTCTCATAAATAAATAAAAGTAGAGAGAAGAAGAAAAGAA